GAGTGGCTGGTAGTTGGACCTCAGGAATTTGAGGAGGCGTAAGCTAAACGAAGACACAAAAACTGTATGTTATGCGTGAACAGCAAATAGGAGGCATTGCCTTTATCTTCGGTGGACTGAGGTTTACTTTTTGACAATGTTATCAAGTGCATTGCCATTGGGCAAACAGACGTCGCAGAGTGAAACGTTGCGAAATTAAAATTAACTTACCGTACTTTTAAATGAGTTAACGTAATTTGTATCTACAATAGGGAATCGCAATCCATTGTTAAAGAGTTGACAGTACAGATCAGTAATCGGCTGAAATTCAACATGATCTGAAAAGGCCAGCATGCAACTCTAAAGAATGAATAAAATTGGAAAGTCTCGCATGCCTTAATAATGGTAAGCATCCTAGTCTGGTTTGCCTCAGCACAATCTTTAAGAGTGATAATATTTTCAAATCTGTGTAAGTGGTCCACTTTGCAAAGTTCCCAAATAAATTGGTAACCACACTTTATTATGCACAGTTCCAATAAATTCAACGTAAAGGCCGCGGTCTCTGAGTCCTGTATAGTCCTCTCCAGTTGGTTAAGTAAAGTATACAGAGCAATGGACGGTCCATTTCGGTCCCGGTTTACATGATCGCAAATCCCTAAGAAGGCTGCTTGATTGGACTGGCTGACTGCTGACTCTAAAAATTGAGAAACAAAAACGTGTGATGTACAATCGTACCCAACTATATTTACTAGTTAAATTTTTAAGTCGAATTTATGAATCAAATAGTGTAATTGGTATTCTTTTTGTGTATTGTAGCAGCATGTATTCCATCCTTCAGTTATTTACATCAAAACTGGATCAAATTTATTCATAATCATCGTGAAAGCCCAGCTCAGTAATGATCTAAAAGCTTAGAAAATCACCCATTGCGTCCTAGAACTTTGGACAAAATGGGCTTAGTATAGTTTTAACTTGGTAATTTTCAGATGGTTTGTTCTGCTGCCGCTTTCACCACTAACGATAGACTACAGTACGATTTTTGCTGGTGGTATGCTCAATCTAAAAAGCACAGCTGTTTATGTAACTCTGAGTGGTTGTCTGTTTTGTCGAGGTCTTCAGAAGGCTTTCTTTATGCAACCAAAAATATCATCACGTAATGTACATCCTTGTAATGGCTACACTTATATGCTCTTTATTGTTCAAAAATCTGTTTTCAAGACTAGCGTTAACAAATTCTAAAAGGAACGACTTACCAATTTCCTTGACGAGTGGATCGGTATTCATTACACTTGCGGAAAATAATGTTGATTTCCAAGTTTTCCGTCCACTTGCATGGAATGAACGTGATGATATGAACGACCAGAAGCTATAATTTAGGATAGATTAAGGAGTGAAACATATTAGATAATTTGCCCCTTGTTTGCTGAAATTTGTGGGAGATGCAATCAATGCCAAATAGTAATATATAATTAAGATCAAAATAGTTATAAAAGAAGATGCACAGATCGCTTTTTGGTGTATCTTAGAGGCTACAATACGGATTTCTTTGTCGGGAGGGTATTTATGCTCTTTTTGCCAAATAGCTAACCATTGACTATAACTTCAAATGAAAGAAAACGAAACGCAAAGACGGTTCACCTAGTGATGAGGTCAGAGGTAAACTTTCTGAGTATTTGCACAGCACTTGCTGTCGTTTGGAACAATGACGATGAAATAGATTATTTTAAACTAGAAGCTGCTTCTATCTAGCTGATCTAGGAAGATGGCAGAATAAGCCTAAAACCACTTTGCAGGAGACTGTAGGTTAGAGCTTCCTGTGTCTTAGCAAACGCCTCCTTATAAATCAAGCCAGAAACATTCTGCCATTTTGGAAGCCCACCGCATTCGTTGGACGTGAACTAGACATAAAATCACAGTCTGTTATCCTAGTAATAAATATAAAAGCGAGAAAAACAGTGATTTGGGCTTCCCTTGATCATGGGGATGGGAAATTAACGCCGTAATTAGTTCAGAGGGTGTTCGCTAGAGAACGCTGGAATGCAACGACGACTCCATGCATATGTGCCACCGCACAGCATCGCATCAAAGGTTTTGCCGCTTTTTTTAAAAAGCGACTGTTCCCACGTGTAGGCGAGCTCGCTATTCTCATGCTTCTTGGAAGTTCAGAAAGGAGAGCCAACAGAAACGTAGGCAGTGGTTACAAAAGACAGAGAAAAAGCCTATCATTATCATGTTAAGCGTCCGAAAAAGTGTCGGAAAAGGGAACATGACAAAATAACACAGAAAAAAATGTTCTATCAATTTAACTAATGAAAACTCAGCTTCGGTCCAAAAACTGTCAGCATGCCGTGAAAAGTACTGTAAGAAGTATTTATCATATGGTTTTGTGATGTATGTCAAAAACATCGGTAATTATTACCACTTTACATATTACTTTACTATTTTTACATAAAATAAACTTCGTATATACCCAAGAACGAATTTTAAAGATGCTAATCTGTATGTGGCGCGTGTATGGATGTATTTTCGGAGTAAGGAGTCTCGTTGTCCAAATTAAAAAAATAGATATGAAATTTCGTAACGAATACGTCGCGACGCGTGAGTTCGCTGGTCACAGTCGTATATTATTCGCGTACTTTGTTACGTTTATTCGTAATAATTCGTAGCGAATTCATGCTTGTTTTGTGATTAGGGCATTTACGTATGCACGATACCACATACACCATACGGCTTTATAAATTTATAAATTATTAATAATTCTTGCAAATATTTTATCTACTTAGCTAATAAGCTTTACATATTGGACTTTTAAATGGCCTTATGAGAAGATTAAGATGCTTCCGCCAGGTAACACATAACGGAGTTCACTGTTTACTATAAAAATATATTTTGCCTAAATTAGGTTCCTCTCTTTCGTTTGACGAAGCTGCTTGAGTTGAAGAGTTATAAGTGACCTCTAAATTAGCCACTCAAACAAAACGACATTATTATGCTTTTTCACATAAAATAGGCTTATAAAAACATTGGTATTGATCGATTCGATTTTTTACGGTAAAGAGTTTAAGTAATTGGAAAATACGTGCACCGATCAGTTATAATTTCTTCTGTGTAAGCTTGCAGCGCTGGTACATTTGCCGAGAACGAGAGTTCGCTGAAACTCTGCCAAGCCCCCTCGCCCTCGCTTATGATAAAGATCATGTTCCAAAACGGTATTGTGAGATTTGACATGTCAATACCATACTCAGGTTTCAATTTGCTACTGTGTTTAAGCAGACCGACTTCGCCGAAGCATATACTCCTATTGTCACTCCTATTGTTGCTATATGCCCTTCCAAGAAAGGACGTGAATTCCTCGAAGCGATGCACTCGGACACATCATGCATCAACAGGCATGTCGAGTTGGACTATTTATACAAAAATTTCAAACAAAAATGGGCGAGACGCAAACCAATCCGTACAGGGGGAGACACACTGCAGCAGCCTACCGGCACATTGAGTCACAGATGAGACCCCCTGACCTGACCTGACCCCATTACCGTCAGCCACAACTGCATGCTGTAAACTCACCCCCTCCCCCCTGCCCGAATGACTGACTATTCATCTCCTTGTCTACACACACGATGCTAGCTGTTTTGACACTTTCACTTTTCTCTAAGTCTGATGATGACCTGGGGTTCTAGACTCGAAAATTCACGAAATAAATTCTATTTTCCCAAAAACTTATCCAACCTTAACTTATATTACTTGGGATGCCCACATTTCGACATATGCTCCTATTTCCATATCTTTTCCTACTTTCCTGTACCCATTGTCCTCCTTTGTTGCCTTCAATTTTTTTTAGCTTTCCTCGTTCTTTTTCCCTTGTCCGTTATCTTTATTCGCTTATAAATTGGCAGCAAACTGTCTGCGTCATTCAAATGACTGCTCGTCTAATCACGTCGAATTTATACCAATCCTCTTTTTGTTTTAACTCTGCATTTTTACCAGTCGTGCCCTGTGATAACTACTGCTTTTTTTCTATGGAACCACAAAAAATATTCTATTTATTCCGACTCTTTTTAATCTCAGGTGCGTCTATTCAGCTGAATAAACTATCCCTGACTCTCTAAAATCTAAAAAACAAGCAAAATCCACACTGCACTGGTATGTTAAAAACCAAGGCTTCGTCACTCGCCCATTAGATATTTCCTAAGATCGCATAATGTGCAGTTCTCTCGTCATTTATTTTGGATGGGCGTGTCTCTAATATTAATATAGAGAGTCAAAACCTTGTACGGTCAAAGAGCTAAAAAAGCGAAACCACCTTCGTATTTAGATGAAAACTTATTGTCACTTCTCCTAGAATAATTACATAATGTTTTTGTTTTCGTACACATCGAACCGTTTATAAATTGCTCTGTGTTATATGAGATAGTACAGTACAAATTGTACATCGCATAGTACAGTGAACAGGTTATTGTGTGTATGTTGTTTACTTACTATACATGCCAACTTGAACACAGCCATATCTCGTAGATTATGGAAGTGTATCAGCGTAAGTTAACTGAGAAGGGCAGATTTGGGCTGGGAGCATTTATTGCATACCGGCAAATTATTCAATGGAGGAGGCTTTCGTGTAGACCGCTGAGACGACATACAATAAGGAGGTGTTAAGGAGAAGAGTTCTGGTCAATTCCATGTAGGTTTTTTACGCAAAAAAGACGCCGTGAAGTGAAGTCAGATTATTGGCAATGTTCTGGTGAAATAATCGAATTATGGAACAATTTTTTTAACAAACCGGTATACTGAAATTAATTACCATGACGAATATTCGCCTGGCAGAGGACTATTACTTATTTATTGATTGCCAGTTTACAGGCAATTTTAAAACTTGGGTTAATTTGTAAAATACCTCTTGGGCGCCTTCCAAAACCTTGAAGACAGGAAAAACCTAAAACAAACTCCCGTCTTTGCTATCATTAACAAGGGATAGCTTTGCTGAATTGTAATACATCTGGGCAGCTTTTGCCAGATTGATATGGCACTTACTGAAAAAAATTATGGTATCTAACTGTGCGTGCCATAGCAAGGAATAAAAAGTCATCTCGATGACTGGCGCATCGGGAGTACTCGAGACGCCTTATGGTACGGAGGAGATTAAAGGTACAGCCATTTAAAGTTGCAAACAGTAAAAATAATTCCTTTTATAATCTGCGAAGCCACAAGGAATCGATGTTAGTAAGCTCACAACGTTGTTGGTAGGACAGGTTGCGATGGTCTGAAGAGTATACTCTTCAAGTGAAGAAGTGCTGAATCGATTCGTTTTTCTTCCTTTCAATATCGCGCAAAAGGCTAAATCGGGGCGAGCAGTATTGGAGACTATGTCTCACGTACATGTTATAAAGGCTAGGTCTAACCTTGACGGTCTTACAGTTTCTGAGAATAGATCGGGTAGTTCGGCGTGCTTTCGAGTTTATCAGGGCACATTGCTCTGACAGATTGAGACTATTAGAATAGGACATGCCCAGATCCTTAATAACTCCTGGCTCATGTAGATCGTGACCGCGTATGATTAGTTCAGGCTGATGATCGGCGCCAACAACCAAAACGGAACATTTGTGCCAAGAAAGGGAGAGGCGCCATGTGCAGCACCACTGGGCAAGGGCTTGAGGATCCTTCTTTAAGAGTTCGAGCATGATATTTTGATCTGCCAGTGTATATTGATAGGCGACTTTTAAATCATCAGCGTACATAGAGGGTCTACCATACTGGAAGCAATTAGGAACAACGTTGAGAAGCAGGCACAATAAGAGCGGTTCAAGTACACTACCCTGAATAACTTCACTCCTCACATGTGTTGGTTTGGATAGGACATTGGAAATTTTTACACGGTGCGTACGAGCATCCAAATAGGACGATATTAAATTCAGGAGTTTTTTTTACCTATGCCGAAAGAGGCAAGTTCTCGAAGGAGGAGATTATTGTCAACACGATCATTTTTTCGAGGAACCCATGCTCAGCTGCATTAAGTAGGTTGTTCTCTGCCAAATGACGCATCATCTTTTCTTCGAGGCGGCGGGTAGTGCACTGATTGGTCTAAAGTCGTCAAAAAACGTCAATCGGCAACGCTTAGGAATAGGCAGTATGTGGGTTTTCTTCCATAACATAGGAAAGTTTCACGAATGAATGAGAACGTTCGAGTTCCAGTTCCAGTTCCTCAGGCATAGGAAAGGTTTCGCTTTCAAGAGCAAGATTGTATATCTTACGCAGAAAAGACAGAAAAATATCGTTCGATTTAGCTTTTAGAAGGTTGACTGGGATGCCATCTGGTACTGGAATGTGAGATTGACGAAAACGGCGAATGGCTACAGTCACGTCCCAGAGGGTTAAACTTATGGTTTCGAAGACGGCACCCATCCGAGCCCGGTTAGTCGGAAGTGCAACGACCGAGTTTTCACTAAACGCTCTGGATAGGAACGCATTGAAGCTCTCAGCGGTCAACTTAGCGTCAACTCTGTCGTTTCCTAAGGCGTCTTGAAGTATGGGGTGCTGCGCTTTACTCTGCTCTTTGACTGTGCGCGAACAGAGTTTCGCAACATTAAGCGAAGGCTTTTCAGCAAAGCTGACCTCATCGGCTGTGTACTTGCTTCGGAGATCCTTTTACCATTCTCTAAGATCAGTTGGATCAAGCGCAGAACGGAAGTGTTCTTCTGTTTATGCAAATGGCATGAGAGCTATACAACTTACGGCGGAAAAACAGGGAAGTTACATTTCATCCTTGATATGTATTATTTTCCAACGGGAAAAAAACGAGAGATGAGTGGATCCAGCAATTTTTATCGTGTATCACTACAAACATTCCCACTCAAACATTGTAAAATCAGACCAGTCGAGAGAATTAAGAGGCGCCAGTATTTCCGCCGTATTTGTTGATCGGAAGTCATGGATAAAAACTGTCTTTTTGGGAAGAAGTTTCTTCCGCCTCCAGTTCTAGTATGGTAACAACTGTAAGATAGTCTGAACTCCCAAGTGTATCAAGAAGATGACACTGACAGTGGTTCATACACTTTATGGAAAATTAGTTCCAGTATGGTTGATCCTCGGATGTGAAAATCGACTATCTTATCATACATGCCGATATCTACGGCCTCAAGTAAGTAAGGACCCGAAGGCGAAAACCGTTGCGTTTCAGGAAGATTGAAGTGGCCTGCAATCAAGCAGAACTTAAGATTCAAGTCAGTAGCGGCATGAAATGCCTACGAGAGACAAAGATCGTACTCCCCAATGGTATTGGGAGGACGATACACACAGCCAAAAAGTAAGGAGTTGTTATTCTTTAGAACAAGTCGGAGCCAGCAGATCTCCTCTGCGGCCTCCACTTGGCCACCGATGACGAAAGCGGAAAGTTTCAAAATTAGGTATGGTGAGCAGCACACTCAAAAGCTTGAGCGCGAGCGACGTAGACAGTGCAAAGTGCAAAACCGTTCTCTCTAGTCTGTGGCACACGATAAAAGGTAAACAGCTGACAGGTAACAAAACGCTTTTTGGAAGAACCCATGACGGAACGCACTAAGAGTATAATTTTACCAGCATTACGTGATCGGTTGCAGGCAACACAAGACAAGTTCCTGGTGATTGTAAACCCGCGCCCACATACACACAACATAAACGGGTCTGAGGAAACAGTGAGCAACGCCTATTCTATGTGGCCGTTTGCCTGCTCTTTCTCATAGTTCATATAGGAGCCTGCTGCGTTGGCTAACGCTGCCTTAGTTCGCAAAGCCTTGCACGCTCGCTGTCTACACGCGCGCGATAAACTCCCCGTACTTTCTTCGTCAATCGCTGCGAGAGGTCCATGATGTCTTGCCGTTCCCACGCTCTTGGCCCACTCGCCGCT